TCATACATGAGTGACCAAAATAGCCATGACCTCGAACCATAAGCAGAATGGCATCACGAGTTATACCAAATAAGAACACAGCAATAGTTCATAATTGACAATGCTGAMGTTGTCTCTCATCATCATCAACAAAGAACAAGAGTTGGTATCCTATTGGCGCTCGGCGCCCAGACTACAAGATGGCAGATCCTATCTAGCCTACTACTACAATGCCGAAGTTGACGTCAACAGCTTCACCGAAGTACGAGCATATGCGGCCAATGCCGCTCGCCTCAAGCACCAGGTATGACTCCCGCTTCGCTCTCAACCCCGATCCTCACCGCACAGATGCCTCTAGCACCCAAGGACCAACCTGCACCCAACCCAGCTTACAGCAGGCAGCGTGACTATGGCTGCCTGCTTCTTCCACACTCGCCCGTGAGTGCGAGGGCGCCAGCCAGCAAATAGCGCAGCAGCGCTGTCGCCGCATGCAGCCAGCACCCGAATGTCAAATGAGGAGGCAGGCCCTTCCCTATATCCCAGTGGCCTGCCTGCGTCCAGTCCAAGAAGCTTCCAGTAGGCCCCGGTAGCCTGAGGCCCAGTCCCGAGGAATGCAGGCATTGGGCCTGAAGTAGTTGCATGTGCCCAACTGCTTTCGGCCTGTGCTTGGCCTGGTACCCGTAGCCAGCCCAGGGCCTGCTTTACATTCATTCACACGGGCGGCCCAGGGCCTGAGTTCATTCAACCAACTGATGCTGTGCAACTGCCTGAATTTCCCCATTTGCGGGGGTACCCTGAAAACGAGGCCCTGAGGGCYTGTCGTGCCTGCCTTCACTTAGGGCGGCCGACCTTGTTGCAAATAAGGCCCGTAGGGGCTAAGCGGGCATAGCCTCGCAGTGAGGTCTAGGGATCGAAACCTGGGTACTGCATCCGCTACTGCTAAAAGGTGAAAACCGTTTCACACATAGGAGCCAGGGCCATAATCGGCCCATAAGGACCTCTTTTATGGGGACAAAAAAAAAAAGAAAAGTAATAGATACGAATCTGAGCAATTCCAGCTGCGAACAGGATATTCAACAGTTCAAGTTAGTGGACTGAGAAGGACTCAGGGAAATAGTACCTTGACAGGAGAATTAGTTAAAAGTTAAAACTGAAAACACAGCAGCTTATAGAACTAAGAATAGAGTAAAATGTGAACGCGCTGACGGTAAGCCTGAACGGAGCGCTGCGCTATTTTGTGCTAGCGATCCACCCAGGCCCATCGGGCTTTCGCCTGTGGGAAACTGACCCTGAGCCGACTGGCTTGCCGGCTCCTGCCTCTTGCTCCATCGCGCCCAGCCAAGCTGCGCACCACCTTTTCGAACCGCGTAGCCGTGCGGCCAAGCCGCCACCGCCAACAACGAGCAGGTAGGTTGAGCAGGATCACCTCCATTGGTGATGGCGGTTGGCTAGTCGATTTATCGTCCTATCGGGGGATGTCTTCTCGCCTCCGAGATTGTTGCTTGTCGTTAGGCGGCTTCATGATGGCGGCTACGATAATCCTGGAGCCACTGTTGTCTTCCTGAGGTTTCGAAATGGAGGCCCGTATCTGCTCGTTGGTTGGGTGTTCGTGTGTTGTGCACGTGTCCTTGCACGTTGATGCGGTGGAGATATTGATGTCGGGCGCTCGCGCCATCAGCCATGGAACTGTACCCGCAGACATCCTGAGCTGAGCGGCCCCGTATAGTGGTACAGGCACTTCAGACAACCCCCAGCGACTATGTAGCGGTTCTTAGAGGTGCACGCTTAGACACACAAAGTAAGAAAAAAAGACATAAAACTTGATCAAAGTTGATAAAACTGATATTGTGTGTGTGTGTGTGTGTGTGTGTGTGTGTGTGTGTGTGTGAGAGAGAGAGAGAGAGAGAGAGAGAGAATCCCTGTGTCACGGTGGGAGTGGTATTGGTCTAGTCGAGAGATCAGTTTATGAGCCAGGCGAATTGTCTGGCGTTTTGGGTGTGCACATGGCGATGCTATCCATTAGAGTTTTTAGTACTTTTTAGTAGTTTCTTGTATGGTGAAGGCCAAGGAGCTTCTTTTTTTCTGATGAATGACATGTTAGTTTGGTTCTTTTTATGCGAGTTCCATTGTTGCACCCCCTGACGGTCAGCAGCCCTTGACTAGTCGGCTGCCGACCCGCCGACCAATCGGCTGGTCGGCACCTAACGGTCGGGGGTCGTCGGCACCCCGCCAAAATAAATAAATAAATAAATAAAAATTGGGGGTCCCAGAACCCCCTATAACACATCCAACACCCCCATAGCGCCCCCCAATACCCTGATACACCCCCCCCCCCCCCCCCCCCCCCCCCCCCCACCCCCCCCACCCCCCCTCATTACCCCCACCACCCCTATACCCCCCTA